AATTGATATTAACATTGATTTTTAAACCTGACAAGAGGCAAAGTAAAACCAGAATGAACCAACTTCCAGCTCAGACCTTACCCCCAGCTCCTGGGCAATGGTCTGCCAGTCCAGGCAGTTGTGTTCAGCAGCTATCTGCTTCAGCCTATCCAGCTCCTCCTCAGTCCATTCCTTTTTGTTGATGCTTGGATGCTCCCAGTTTTGCCAAAACCAGCTCAGTTCTTCTGAGCTGCGTTGTCCATCAAACTAAAAAAGCAACAAAAATACGTTTAGTCTCAGAGCTGGGATTAAGACACCTGGACAAACAGGACAACCAGTATTTGCATTCCAGATAAGTCTTACTGCCAAGTTTTCCAGAATAAAATCACCAAATTTAACAAGTTAAGATCACTTAACACTCAGCTGGAGAAATGCAAGATGGAAACACTGGATGCAAACCAGATCAGGGATTCTCAAGAGGAAGGACCCAGATACCAGAAGCAATAAAACAGCTGATCCCCCAACTCACATGGATGTTTGAAATTTTGTCCCAGTCATGCTCATCGAATCTGTTTCCAATTAAGTCACTCTCTGGGAGTTGGCTAAAGCAGAAGGTACAAAGAGGAAGAAAGAATCATATCAAAAGGTTAATGAAACATTTTGTCTTCTTGATCCTGCCTCATCTCATCCCTCCCACCTGTTCCTGACTGCCACAAGAACTGAACACTTGGATTAGCAGGAGAAACAATGAATGCCATGTCCAAACATGTTGCATGAGATTGTTCATGAGCAAAAGCTCAGAAATATGAAAAAAATCAGAGCTCTGCTCCTTTGCTGCTAAAGAACCATTTAAAGCAGCACCTCTGCACTAGGTGCAGGCACTTTGTGTATCAAGACCCAAACACATTTCTTAGTACAGAACAGTGGAAATGAGAGAGCTGCAGAGCCACAACAGCACCTAACTTTTTACAACCCAACACCAATGACCCATCTAGAAGTAGAACAAGGGAACTTTTAGAGCTAAACTCTAAGACATTTCATTTTTCAACAAGAACACAGAAGGACTTCTTACTTAATTGCCTCTATTTCTTGCTCCAAGTCTTTGATTTGCTTTTCCAAGGGATCTTTTTCTGTTTCAGTCTTGATTTTCTCCAGTTTCTGATTCCAATAACTCAACCTGTTCAAAGACATTTTTATCACTACATAAAAGGACAGATGGGAATGAGGTCAATAGCATCAGAATATGTACAGCACAGACACCTTCCCCATCAGTATCATTCCTCCCTTCAGGTTTATTCCCACACAAAACTGTTCTCCCAAATTTTCCCTCAAGGCGCACTCATTGCCATATTTTTGCCCCTTCAATGCAATCCCTGACCCAGAAGAGGTTTCAGATAAACCATTTTGGTGTTTATACAGAGAACCAGTGGTTGCTGCAACAGCCATAAAGAACTGTGCCAGCTCCAGCACAGAAATAAATCCCTTGCTGGACACACCATTAGCCCTCACCACACATCACAATTTCAGCTTCAAGCCCTGCAAAGAATTTTACGTTACACCACAGCACCAATGGGAAGAACAGATGTAAAATCCCACAAACACAAGCAATTAACACAGGAAGGGGAAATGTGTACATGTCCCTTCTCCTCCTTTGCCATGCAATGCTCTCAGCAGGAGAAGAGGGGATTTGGGGGCAGAACTCACTTGAGCAGCTTGGGCTGGAGCAGGCGCTGCAGGCGGTCGCTCACCACGGATTTCCGCAGCAGGGTCTTCTCTGCAGCTTTCCCTAAAGCAGACAGGGCAGCAGGCAGACATCAGAGCAGAACCACTGCCAGGAGACACCCAGTGCTCCCAGCACCCCTGGGAATGCTCTGCAGGGAGAGCTCCCTGCATAAATCACCAGTCAGACCTGGGCAGGGCACAGCCTCTGGCTCAGTTTTACTGGGATCTGCAAAGGGACCCCAAAAAAGGAACCACCCCGTGAGCACCTGGAGCTGCAGCTGTCCCTGGACCTGCCCTCATCTGGGCACCACCCTTGCACCACCTCACTTGGCTTGGGAGTGCTCAAGGAGCTGAGCAGCAGAACAAATGAAAAAGGAGTTATTAATTAATGACTCACTGAAATAATTTACAGAGCACCCCATTCCCTTCTAACAACTTTTTGTGAGTCAGGCAGAGATGGTGACGTTTAACTGCAAGCAGGAACACATGCAAATAATATTAATATATACATTTGTTATATGAATAAACACATGTTATAGTTCTTCTAGAGCACTGAACAGCACCCAGACTTAGTTATATGAACATATACATTAGTTATATGAATATATACATTTGTTATACGAATAAACACATGTTATAGTTCTTCTAGAGCACTGAACAGCACCCAGACTTACTTACACTTGGCTGAGTGCAGCTGTTCAAAGGATTTTATGCCCTGAGCTGCTTTTTCCTTGGCATCTTCGTTGGAAGGAGGGCCCTGATGAGGATTAGAAGGGTTAGACACACTGAGAGTCAGACAAAATTACTGTTTCTTCTTAAAACTCCAGCATGAACTGCTACAAAAATAACTGAAAACTCAAACTTGTGCAAAGTGTCACACTGCTTAGTTACATTTGTTAGCAAGAGCTCACAGGTACATCATTTCATTAAATAGAAATATTACCAGTAATTGCTTGAATATATTAATTTATGGATGATGATAGTTGACATCTTGGCTACCACAAAAAGCACAGATCTCCATTTGCTGATGGCCTTTTAAAAACACGTGAAAAATAAAAGTACTACTGATTGTTCCAGAAAATATTAAAAAATACAGAAAATCTAAGGAATGGAGAAAACTCAGTTTCACAGACAATCAGATTTCAGGGAGGGCTTTAAAGAGCAGCATGGAATTGGGGCATGGAAATGAAGACAATTAAAGTTAAGTTAAACCCAGGAACATTCAGCCCCTGGTGGCTGCAATTCCACTCCTCAGACCTCACAGGGCTGAACAAACATTTCCAAAAGAGGGAGAGTGACAAATGAGGACAAAAATGTTTCAGGCTGAGGAGTGACAATCAGTTACACATCTGAAATGAGAACAGTTTAAACTCAACACAGTGTACAACCATCACTGAAGACACATCAGCCTGGAAGCTGCTTTTATTGACTCACCATTCCTGTTACTTTATCCTTAAAGTATGGCTTCAGAAAATGGCCCAAAAACACATTTGCTGGTAGATTTCTGCCATCTCCTGCCCTGGCTGTTTTTGAACCATCCAGCTCACCCATGATTTCTTTCTGCAATACAAGAATGAATGGAACAGCATCAGTTCTGATTTCAGAGAGCTGAGCCTCACAAACACCCCAGGCAGGGCTCAAACTGCAGCACCAGACTGCAAAATCAGTGCAGGACTAAAGGCAGCATTTGGAACTTCCAAATTGCACAGTGCAGATCATTATAAGTTTAATAAAATACTAACTTGCCACAGCAAACTGAAATATAACATGTAAAATACCCATTTTTATTGTAAGAATGCATGGAGCCATCAGTTAAATAAACCAGCTCAGTCCTGGGCTTGAGGGGAAGGGAGGAAGGCAAAAGGCAGCCCAGAGCAGCACAGAAATGAGCATTTCACTGCTGCTTTGCTCACCTGCTGTGCTCTGTTTTGTGCAATGAGCAGCTCCACCTCCTCAATCTTCTCCTTGATAACGTCCTGGTACACATGGTTCATCTGCAGGCAGGTTTCTGGATCCTGGGGCAGGCTTTCAATATCATCATCATCATCATCACTGCTGTCTTCTTCTCCATCCACTTCCACTTCCTTGAGGCAGAGAAGGCATTTAGGGAGAAAAGCAGATGTTTGAAAAGCAGGTCTGTAACAACAGGGCTGAAGCTGATGTGTGCCCACAGCCTGTGGATCCCAAAATCCTGGGCAGGAAAACCCCAAATCCAGGTTTTACTGAGCACAAAGCCAGGGCAATTGCCTGGATTTCCCCAGAGCAGGGCGAGGTTTCCCTTCAAAACTGGAAATATATACTTAAAGAAAAAAACAGTTACCATTTCAGCATAAGAATCTTCATCATCATCATCATCATCACCATCTGTCGCACAAACAAAACACAAAAATGCTGAGTGCAGTAAGCTTTAAACCCAAATATTTCCAGTTAAAGCACAGAGGAAAAAGCACCAGGGACACGACCATCAGCGGGTTTGGATACTGACAACGCTGTCATGTAAAAATTGCATTATTATAGTCTGTTTATGCTTTTTTTTGTTGTTCTGGAGAAGGGAAAAACGAGCAGCTCCGGGTAAGCACAGCAGAGCTGAACGATGATGCTCCTGGGAGTGAGCCAGGTGACAATTCCAAGGCAGGACAACGCAAACGGGGCACCGGCAGCCCCGAGCACCGGAGCGCGGCCCCGACACCGGAGCGCGGCCCCGAGCACCGGAGCGCGGCCGCTCCCGCTGGCACCGGCAGCCCCGAGCACCGGAGCGCGGCCCCGAGCACCGGGGCACAGCCGCTCCCGCTGGCACCGGCAGCCCCGAGCTCCCCCAACCCAGCCGCAGGAGCCGCGCCCGCTGCGGCTCTCACAGCGCTCTGGGCCCCGGGGTTTCAGCGCCGCCGGTGTCCGGCCGCAGCGGGAGCGTGCAAAGCGCCGGGAGCGGGGAGCGCCCCGAGCCCGTACCGGAGCTGAGGCTGGAGTCGGACAGAGCCAGCGGGATGTCGGTGCCGCCGGGCTGCAGGCTGCGCTCCAGCTGCTCGATCTGGCGGCGGATCCTCTCCCGCTCCGCATCGAGGTCCAGGCCCTGAGGGGAGCGGAGCGGCCCGGCCGGGCCCGGCCCGCGGGACATGGCGGCACCGCCGCGGCCGGGGCTGCGCTGGCCCCGCCCCGCCCTCCCGCTCCGCCAATCGCCGCCGCGAGCGCGGGTCATGTGACACAGCACGTGACATGGCGCAGCCAATCCGGACGGGGCTCGGCGCACATGAACGGCCGGGGGCGGCCCTGGGAGCCGCAGAGAGCGGCCCGGGCTGGGCCCGGGACAGGGACACGGACACGGCCTGCAGTGACACGGGGACACCGGACACGGCCTTCAATGGCACCAGGACACCGCGACACGGCCTGCAGTGACACGGGGACACCGGACACGGCCTGCAGCGGTACCGGGACACCGCGACACGGCCTACAGTGGCACCGGGACACGGGGACAGGGCCTGCAGTGACACCGGGATACCGGGACATCAGCGTTCAGTGGCACCAGGACATGGGGACACGGCCTTTAATGGCACGGGGACATTGGGGCATGGCTTTCAATGGCACTGGGACAGTGGGATACAGACTTCAATGACACCAGGACATGGCCTGCAGTGGCACCGGGACACCGGGACCCCGCCTGCAGTGGCACCGGGAACCGCCACCGCCCCACGGGCCTTCCCCGTCCCCGGCCGAGCACCGAGCGGCAGCGGGAGCCGCAGCCGAGCCCGCGGCGCTCCGCCCGCCGGTGTCCCGGAGGAGGGGCCGCGCTCCCGGCCCCGCGGGAGCGGCGCTGCCGGCTCAGGGATGGAGAGCCAGGTGTGCAGTTTGACGCGTCAGAATGAGGCCAAGTATGAAAAATTCACTTTTTAGTAATGGTTTCCGTATGAAAACAAAGTCCTGCGTGCTGCGTGAGGCGCTCACTGCTCCTGCTCTGCCACCTCGGAGATTCTGTCTATGGAGTTCAGGAGATCGGCCACGAGCTGCAGGGATTCTGCCCCAGACAGCAGCTGCCTGCAGGGGGAGAGATGCAGCGTTACATGTGGGGACAGCCAGCCGCGCATTTTGGGGCAGTTTCCCCACATTCTGTGACTTATCAAGCAGCACTTTATCATTTATCAGGAAACTCAGACACTCCCACTCATTTTTACACCTGGAGGAAAACACAGAGGGTGAGAACACGGAGCATCCCCTCTGTCGCACGGCACAAACCCCTGAATTTTAACCCCAAACCCCCCCCCGGGGGATGTTTGTGTGCGAGCCCCGCGGCCGGGAGCGCTGTCCCGGCGCTGCTGACCTGACGGACGCTCGGGAGCTGGCCGTGACCCGCAGCAGCTGCTGCCGCGCCGCCTCCGCGTTCCGCCGCGCCGCCGCCAGCCCCGCCCGGCCCGCCCGCAGCTCCTCCCGCTCCCGCCGGCAGCTCCGCAGCTCGGCCTGCAAAAAAGGCCGTGAGAAACAGCCCCCGGAGGGCAGCGGATGCTCTGCGGCTAATCGTGCATTCCCACTGCAGTTTATGGGCGTGGAATGTAATCATTAACTGATAAAAGTACACAATAAATAATACAATAAATGATGTAATAAATCGTAAGGAGCCCAGAAGCTCCCAGACAGCAGGGAGCGTCTGCCCACAAACACAATCAGCAGGGTTGGAAAGACCTCTGGATGCATCCAGTCCAGTCCTGCCAAGGCAGTGTCACCTGCCAGGAACAATTCCAGCTGTCTCCAGAGAGGGACTCCCTGAATTCCCTGGGCAGTTTGCTGCAGGCTCTGCCACCCTCCATGGAAAGAAATTCTTCCTCATTTCAGTTTGTGGCCATTGCTGCTCACCACTGAAATGTGGCACCCTCCAGGCCCTCCCAGGACTTCAGTGAAGCTAAAAACACAGCCAGCATTTTCCTCAGAGCCTGCAAAACCCTTGCATTCCAGCTCTGAGATGTGTCCCTGCAGCCCCAGCAGTGCTGCTGTGTACCTGCAGCTGGGCATTCTCCTGCCTCAGTTTGGCAGCACTGTTCTCAGCCTTGGCAGCCCTTTTCTGCAACAGAACAGAGATTATTGGAAAAATAAATAATAATAAATCGATTTATTGTAAAACAATACCATTATATATTATTATATTTACTAATATTCCATATTGGTATATATAATAAAAAATTGTTCTATAAGAATGGTAATTATCAAAATGATCACTGAAAATAGTATTATAATACTACTACTACTAATAATAATAATTCAATTGAAATTATAGTAACCCAGGCAGCTTGAGCCACTTGGGAATGAGTGATTCCAGCACAGAACCTGGAGGGATAAGGTTTGTGTTACACCCCCAGCATGTTCTGAATGTTTTAGGAGGTAGAACAGCTCCCTCCTTCCCTCCTCACTGCTCCTTTCTGGGATCTGCAGACCCTCACAGGGGAGAATTCCTTGCTGACATCTGCTCTCAGCCTAAAGCCAGCACTTACAGTCATCAGCTGCAGGTTCTGCTCCACATGCTGCACCATTGCTTCCAAATCCTGTGCTTCCTTCTCTTCTTTGATTTTGTTTTCCTCAAGCTTCTTCTCAAGCTTCCTCATCCTTAAAAAAATAAGAGATAACACACAGCAAAGCACACATTAAATACTTTAGGAGGGAAATTCTGGGAAAGGATCAAGGAACTCATGGTTTTGTGTTACAAGGAAAATTAATTCTTCTCACTCACTTGTCTGCTTGAGTTTCAGCCAGAATCTGAAGCTTATTGATCTTGCTTCTCAAGACAGCATTCTCTTCTTTTAGCTAAAAAAAATAAATAAAAAATTGTTATTAGCACTGAGGTGCATTTTCACAATGCCAACAATCCAATATCAATGACAGAATATTAACTTTAGCACTGGCAATCCTTGTGCTTTCTAATACATTCAAGCCTAATTTTACCTCAGCTCACCCATCTGGAAACCACTGCGGGGCACAGCACTGTGCCACTGAGGCACCAGCGCGAACGGCACTAATTAACGCCGCCAGTTCTAAATGAGCATGACCTCAGGGGCGGGGCACGAGGAAGTCACCCGGGTCATGTCTCAGCAGCGCAGAGAGAGAACCGGACCTGCCTGTGCTGAAATGCCCATTTCCAGAGCCGTTCTCCCGTGCCCCGGCCCGGCCGGCGGGCAGCGCTCACCTGCTCGTAGCTCGGGGCCCGGCCCGGCCCCGCCGCGGCTCCGGCGCTGCCCAGCAGAACCGGACCTGCCTGTGCTGAAATGTTCCAGAGCCGTTCTCCCGTGCCCCGGCCCGGCCCGGCCGGCGGGCGGGCAGCGCTCACCTGCTCGTAGCTCGGGGCCCGGCCCGGCCCCGCCGCGGCTCCGGCGCTGCCCAGGTGCGCCTGCTCCACGGCCAGCGGCTGGTAGCTGTCGCTCCATTCCTCATCCTCATCCTCCTGCTCGTCCCCCGACCCCGCGGGCACCGCGGGCAGCGGCGGCACCGCGGGCCCGGCCTGCGGAGGGGACAGCGGGCTGAGGGCGGCGTGGTGACGGGACGGCTCCCGGCCGCGCTGCCGCGCACGGCCTTACCTGCGCGTCCCCGCCGCGGCACTTGGAGCGGACGAACTCGCGGAAGGAGAAGGGGTTGGGCTCGGCCGGAGCCCCCGGCAGCGGCTGCAGCGCCGGCGCCGCCATGGCCGCCTGAGGGCGGCGCGGGGCGGGGCCTCCCGCTCGCAGCGGACCAATGAGCGCGCGCTCTCCGCCGCCGCGCCCAATCGCGGAGCCGCCCTGAGGCGCGGCCCCGCCCCCTGACCGCGCGCTCCCGGTGGCGGCAAGATGGCGGCGGCCATGGCGTGGCTGAGGCGCGGAGCCTGCGGCCCGGCCCGGCGGTGAGCGGGGCCCGGCACGGCGCGGGGAGGGCACGGTGCCTCTGGGAACAGCGCGGGGACCCGCTCTGTCGGGGGGGATCAGCGCTCGGTGCCGGCCTCGGCGGAGGGGCGCGCCCGCGGCCCGTGACGCTGTGCCCGGTGTCCCTCAGGTGCGGGCTGGCGGCCGGCCGGAGCTACAGCGGCGGCGGCGCCTACCCCAGCGTGTCGCTGACCTGCCCGCTGCCCGGCGTGCCCAAGGCCGTGTTCGCGGCGGCCGAGAGCCGCGAGCGCTTCGAGACGCGGGTGACGGTGCTGGAGAACGGGCTCCGCGTCGCCTCCCAGAACAAGTTCGGGCAGTTCTGCACCGTGGGCAGTGAGTACCGGGCACTGGGCACCGGGCACCGGGTACCGGGCAGGCTTCGTGTCCCCCCGAGCCCGGGCTGTGCTAGCGAGGCCCGCGGGTGTAAAAGTCACGCTGGTTTATTGTCTCCTTTGCACCAGTTCTGGTGAATTCGGGATCGCGACACGAAGCGAAGCACCTCAGTGGCATCTCGCACTTCTTGGAGAAGCTGGCGTTCTCTGTGAGTACTGCCCTGGGGCCCCCAGCTCTGCACAGAGCAGCCAAGGAGGGCCTGACCCGCAGGGCTCTGCCCCTCAGCTGTTAAACAGCAGTGCATCGATGGAGTCACAGAATCTTAATTGATTATTAATTAGCATGACTGTAATTAAATTTTAAAAGTCTTTGTGGTTTCACCTCCGAGGGTGGCATGTAGTGATTGGACTGAAAGAATGTGAAAGATGCTCTGGGTTACACTGAAGGGTTATAAACAGTTATTGCTTTACTAATTAATAACATTGGTATTTTCTTCCTTAGTCCACAGCTCAGTTTGGCAGCAAAGATGAAATTCTCCTCACCTTAGAGAAGCATGGAGGCATCTGTGACTGCCAGGCATCGAGGTGGGTGCTGCTTCTGCTCTTACTGGGTGCTGCAGCACTGACAGCACTTTGAATCTCTTTTCCTGCTGTGGGGCAGGAAAAGCTCCTTTTTGTTCCCAGGCAGCAGAAAATCCACTTGTTTGGGCTGCTGGGAAGCTACAAAAGTGAGCCTGAAAGGATTATAAAAACTCAGATCTATTTAATTTCAGAAGTATTTAATGGTTAGAATAGCTTCACTGTGATCCCCTGATACTGAGAGGACACTGAGTGAGCCCAGAAGTGAGTTCCCAGTGCAGAACCTGTGTTTTGTGTTGCAGGGACACCATCATGTATGCAGTGTCTGCTGATGCCAGAGGCCTGGACACCGTGGTCAACTTGCTGGCTGATGTAACCCTGCAGCCCAGGTTATCAGGTCTGGCAGCACAATCCTCTGCCTCAAAAAAAAAAAAACCCATTTCCACCACACGGCTTGCTCCTAAGAGCTCAGAGTTCCCTCAGAGGTGACCTTGCAGCAGCTGGGGTTTTCTGTAGGGGTTGCCATCCCTTGCTTTGTCTCGTTGCAGATGAGGAAATGGAGATGACCCGAATGGCCATCAGGTTTGAGCTGGAGGATCTGAACATGAGGCCTGACCCAGAGCCTCTCCTGACAGAAATGATCCATGCGGTAACACCCTGGGACTTCTGCGTTCTCTTCCTCGTTTTGGCAGCCTCAGGGTTTATTTTAGACTGTTCTAAAACCAGATTTTCTGTTATTCAGTTTCTGTGATGGGAGAATTTGGCTGTCCCTTCACTTTGAAATCCAGCTTTCTCCACATGTGGAAAATTCTAACCCAAACTAAAAAAAAACAACTTATTTGTAACTTCCCTTTGTTGGTGTGGGTGACAAAACATTACTGAGTTGCACTTACATTAGTTAAATATGCTGGAAGATTCTAACCCTAACAAAAAAAAAAACCTTATTTGTAACTTCCCTTTGTTGATGTGGGTGACAAAACATTACTGAGTTGCACTTACATTAGTTAAATATGCTCAACTTTTCCTCTTTCAGATGTGGGCTTAATTCCAAACCAAAAAGAGGTTTAGAGGGGGGTTTAGGGAAAAATGAAGTGATGTTTGTGACTTTAATGTGCCTGTTCCCTTTTAGGCAGCCTTCAGAGACAACACAGTGGGACTGAACAGGTTCTGCCCCGTGGAGAACACGGACAAAATCACCCGGGACGTGCTGCACTCCTACCTGAGCAGCTACTACACCCCAGACAGGATGGTGCTGGCTGGGGTGGGCATTGAGCACGAGCACCTGGTGGAGTGTGCCAGGAAATACCTGCTGGGCGTGGAGCCCGTGTGGGGCTCGGGGCAGGCCAGGGCTGTGGACAGGTCTGTGGCTCAGTACACCGGAGGCATCGTCAAGGTACGTGCTGGCAGCCAGCAGCTTGCTGGGATTTGCTGCTTTCCCTACAGGCTTTTGCTTTTCTCAAGTTGTATTTCATGGGTATGAGCCCAAGCTGGCCATGGTAGCTGTAAATTGGGTGGCTTGGTGGTTATTGGGAATGTGTCAAACTGGGTACAACAGCTGTGAAAATCGGTGTTAATGATCTGTCTGCCCTTCCCACAGGTTGAAAAAGACATGTCAGATGTGAGTCTGGGCCCTACTCCCATCCCAGAGCTCACCCACATCATGATTGGGTTAGAAAGCTGCTCATTTTTAGTAAGTATTAACCTAAAATCCTTTTTTGTGTGCCCTATACTTGGAGAATCCCAGGAACACTGACTCATTCCACAAACACTGACATTTTTGCTGCTGCACATAAAAACAAGCAGCATTTTCCACAACACTTGGCTGAAGGCTTCACCTCCACACTGTTCTTGTGCTGTGTTTTTTCCCTCCCCTTTACTCACCCCAGACCCTCGAGAGCTCTGCCCTTACCTGAGTTTGTTGTTGCACTCCAGGAGGACGATTTCATTCCTTTTGCGGTGCTGAACATGATGATGGGAGGTGGTGGCTCTTTCTCAGCTGGAGGGCCTGGCAAGGGCATGTTCACCCGGCTGTACCTCAACGTGCTCAACAGGTGGGTTTGTCTTGCTGTTTAAGGGCTGCCAGAAACAATCCTGTAGCAGGTTTACATGGGAAAAGGGAAACCCCACCAGGTTTTACATCAGTTTAGTCTGCTTGGAACGTGGGACTGGTGTGTCAGTTGGCATTTTGAGGGGGGGAAAGTAAAGGGCAGAAGTGACCAGGAGTAGTGTTTTCTTCTGCTAGCCCTGTCCATGCTTTAATCAGGGAATATTAACAGGATTGGCTCTGTATTGTCAAGGATTCAAGTGGAGAGAAGGGAGTAGATGCCACATGCATAAACTGTCAGAAGCAGGGATTGACAATTCTCACTGCACTGCTGAGAATCCTGAGAATGCACTAGGAGGGTGCCCACTGTCCATGTTTAATTTTTACATTGTAAATTCTGGAGTTTAGATTTTAAATTACTCTTTGTATACTCACAGGCACCACTGGATGTACAATGCCACCTCTTACCACCACAGCTATGAGGACACAGGTCTGCTGTGTATCCATGCCAGTGCAGATCCAAAACAGGTGCAGAGTCCTTAAACAGTAACCACATCAGTTCCAGAGTGCTGTGGGCACAGGAAGCATTGTTCTGATCTTCTTTCCATCATCTGTTGTCCCCAGGTTCGGGAGATGGTGGAAATCATCACCAGGGAATTCATCCTCATGGCAGGAGCAGTGGGAGAGGTCAGCAGCACATTTGAGTTTGCAGATGGTCTTTGAGCTGAAATAATCCCTGGAATGTCCAAGGCCAGGCTGGACAGGGCTTGGAGCACCCTGGGACAGTGGAAGGTGTCCCTGCCCATGGCAGGGGGTGGCACTGGATGGGCTTTAAGGTCCCTTCCAACACAAACCTTTGTGGTGTTCTGTGAATGCACTGCATTGACTGTGCTAGAATGGATTTTTATAAGTAATTTTGTTATATATTCCTGTAAAAGAATACAGCAACATTGGCAATGCATCCACAAAGAGAGAGGTGTCTGCAGAACTCTTCCATGTTACCTTGTACTGCAGAGCAGCAACCAGAATTTTTTTTTTGTTTCCTGCTCATTCACAGGTAGAACTTGAGAGAGCAAAGACACAGCTCAAGTCCATGCTCATGATGAACCTGGAGTCTCGGCCAGTGATCTTTGAAGATGTGGGGAGGCAGGTTTTGGCAACAAACACAAGGAAGCTACCTCATGAGCTCTGTGACCTCATCAGTGAGTAGACAATGCTTTGCCTTGCCTTGAGGGAACTGTAGGTACGGTTAAAATATTCTTGTAGCACTGATGAACTACCTCTGAAAGTCTGAGGGCATAAATATTAGAGAAATACATTTTAAACTGAGCTTAATTACTTTTACAATTAACAACACAGGGCTTATTTTAGTCAGAAGGAAGAGGAAACAAGAATCATGGTGGAGAAGACATGGAGCTGGTTTTCTGAGCATGGGCCCAAAGCTGCTTTGTGCTGTTCACAATGGAGGTGTATCACAGCTCTGCCTTTCTTCTGCCTGCAGGTCAGGTGAAACCCAGTGATATCAAGAGGGTGGTGACTAAGATGCTGCACAAGAAGCCAGCAGTGGCTGCCCTGGGTGACCTGACAGACCTGCCCAGCTACGAGCACATCCAGGCTGCCCTTTCCAGCAAGGACGGGCGGCTCCCGCGGCTCTACCGCCTCTTCCGATAGAGCAGCGCCTCCTGCCCGCCTCAAATCCCTTCTTTTTTAATGGTTTTTTTTTTGATTCTCATATTGCTGTATCACCCTCTCTCCCCTCAAAGCTCCCAGGCATTCTGTGCAACCATGGAGCTGGGCAAAGCTGCTGTGGAACACTGGACTGTGAAGAGCTCGTGTAAGGAGCTGGCTCTGGAGGAGTTTGGCCCTCTGAGGAGGTTACAAGAGAAGATGGGTGTTGACACCCTTCTCTTGGCTTTGGGGAGAACAGAGCAAGCCAAAATGTTCATCACTACAGTGAAAGCACATCTCTGAGCAGTGAGTCACTGCCTCTTCATCACCCCAGCAGTGGAAGT